GGTGTGAAGAAGAAGACCATGTGTGAGAGCGTGGACGAGATCAAACTTCCGAGTGAAGAGAGATCTAATTTTCGTGTCGGTGTTTTCATTTTTATTTAATATTTTAAAAATCTTATTTTATACTGTATTTTTATTTTTAATTAAAGAAAATTTGAAGTGTTAAATAAGATTTTTAGAATGTTAATAACAATTTTTAATAAAAAATATTAATATAATAATAGGTGTTGGATGTGGGGTGGGCCATAGACCATGTAATAAGAGAGTTTATAATGGAAATGGATCATCTCTGGATTCTTTTCACCAAATTCACCAAGATCATAAACCTGAGTCTTTGAAATTTAATTTAACAGCTACAAACAGGAGTCAATTTTAAAAGTTAAAATAACTTTAACCGTTAAATTAAATTTTAAATACGCGAATTTGTGGTCTTGGTAGATTTAGTGGAAGAAATAATTACTTGTTTACAAGGAGTACAAGATGAGGACAGAAAATGTTTGACTTTTTGTCAAGCCATGAAAGTCTAATACTTTAGCAAATTAGCACTAAGTTAAAAAGATTTATGGGATAAGCCTAACCCAACAATTTAAATCTCAATTGAGGTTTAGAAAATATCTCATGGTTGACTATAGACTCAATTTTGAAATCTAGATTGAGAAAATTGGGGTAGGTAAAAATCAACTTCGAATTCGTTCGAGCTATACCCTATTCAGGATAAGGTTCAGAAGTAAAATGCTTATAACTAAGTAAAAAAAATTCGAAACGCCACTTTCCAGCATCGATTGTGTCAATAAAAAGTAGAGTACAAATTGTTTCAAAATTGTAAGACAAAGCCCATCAATTTTCTAATACAAGTCCAAAAGCCCAATATTGCTTTGTGTTTATGTTGTCCGGGCCCAACCCAAACAAATGGATTATCATTCATCAACCTCCCACCAAACCTTGCAGTGAATAACTGAAATTTGGAAATGGAATTCAGACTTGGCCGTTAGAGATAATATGCCGGGCCTCAGCCTCTCTCTTCCCGCTCCCGCCAAACTCCCTCCACCTCCTCCTCTCAGTCCGAAAGCCACCAACTTTGAGCTTCTCAACAACCGTCTGATCAACCAAATTAATGTCGGCCATCTCCGCAAAGCAATCACCACCCTTGATCTCCTGGCGCAGCGCGGGATCCACCCCGACCTCCCCACCTACTCACTCCTCATCAAGTCCTGCATCCGGTCGCGGAACTTCGACCTGGGCAAGCTCGTCCACGACCGGTTGGCTCACTCCCAGCTCGAACCCGACCAGGTACTTCTGAACTCCTTGATTAGCTTGTATTCGAAATCTGGGGACTGGAAGAAGGCGAATTCGATCTTCGAAAACATGGGCAGTGAGAGAAATTTGGTTTCTTGGAGCGCCATGGTGTCTTGTTTTGCGAACAATGATATGGGATTCGAAGCGATCTCGACGTTTCTTGATATGCTCGAACATGGGTTTTACCCGAATGAGTATTGCTTTGCATCTGTGATTCGGGCGTGTTCGAATGCCCGGAATATTGGGATTGGGAAGGTAATTTTTGGGTCGGTGATCAAAGGTGGGTATCTTGGGTCTGATGTGTGTGTTGGGTGTTCATTGATCGATATGTTTGCGAAGGGTGGTGGAGATTTGGGTGAAGCGTATAAGGTGTTTGAGGAAATGCCTGAGACGGATGCGGTGACGTGGACTTTGATGATTACTAGGTTTGCACAGATGGGTTTCCCCAGAGAGGCTATTGGTTTGTATGTGGATATGTTGTTGAGTGGGTTCATGCCCGACCAGTTTGCACTAAGTGGTGTTATATCGGCGTGTACAAAGTTGGAATCACTTTCACTGGGGCAGCAATTGCATTCGTGGGTTATACGGTCTGGATTGGCTTTAGGTCATTGTGTCGGGTGTTGTTTGGTGGACATGTATGCCAAGTGTGCAGCTGATGGATCGATGAATGATGCGAGGAAGGTATTTGATCGGATGCCAAACCATAATGTTATGTCATGGACTGCAATTATCAATGGATATGTGCAGAGCGGAAAGGGTGATGAGGAAGCCATCAAACTCTTTGTTGAAATGATGTCAGGTCATGTTCCACCAAATCATTTCACATTTTCTAGCATTCTGAAGGCTTGTGCAAATCTTTCGGATCTGTGTAAGGGTGAACAAATTCACTCCCTGGCAGTGAAATCAGGTCTTGCTTCCGTTAACTGTGTAGGAAATTCGCTTATCACCATGTACTCAAAGTCTGGCCAGGTGGAAGATGCCCGCAAATCTTTTGATGTTCTGTATGAGAAAAATTTGATATCTTATAACACAATCGTTGATGCATATGCCAAGCATTTAGATGCAGAAGAAGCCTTTGGACTTTTTCATGAAATTCAGGATACAGGATATGGGGCTAGTGCTTTCACATTTTCTAGTCTCTTGAGTGGAGCTGCAAGCATTTGTGCTGCTGGTAAGGGCGAACAAATCCATGCCCGGATAATAAAGTCAGGACTTGAGTCAAACCAAATCATTTGTAACACTTTGGTTTCCATGTATTCTAGGTGTGGAAACATAGATGCTGCTTTTCTAGTTTTCAATGAGATGGAAGATTGGAATGTTATATCATGGACTTCAATGATCACGGGTTTTGCAAAACATGGATATGCAGCTGCAGCGGTGGAAATGTTCAACAAAATGCTTGAGGCCGGAATAAAACCTAATGAGATCACATATATTGCTGTTTTGTCAGCTTGCAGCCATGCGGGTTTGGTTGATGAGGGTTGGAAACACTTCAAGGAAATGCAGAAAAAACATGGTGTTGTCCCAAGAATGGAACATTACGCATGCATGGTTGATTTATTAGGCCGCTCAGGATCCCTTGTAGAAGCCCTCGAGTTTATTAACTCAATGCCTTTTACAGCTGATGAACTCATCTGGCGGACATTTCTTGGAGCCTGCCGAGTGCATGGTAACATAGAGCTTGGTAAACATGCAGCAAAGATGATTATCGAGCAGAACCCACGTGATTCGGCAGCATATAGTTTACTATCGAATTTGTATGCTTCCACTGGTCGGTGGGAAGAAGTGGCAAAAGTAAGAAAATATATGAAAGAGAAGTATTTGATCAAAGAAGTAGGTTCTAGCTGGATAGAGGTGAAAAATAAGATCCACAAGTTTCATGTTGGGGATACTTCACACCCGAAGGCAAAGGAGATTTATGATGAACTGGATCAATTGGGCTCAAAGATAAAGAAACTGGGCTATGTCCCGAATACAGATTTTGTACTTCATGATGTGGAAGAGGAACAAAAAGGATTTTACTTGTTTCAACACAGTGAGAAAATAGCAGTGGCGTTTGGTCTTATTAGCACATCGAAATCAAAACCTATTAGAGTATTTAAGAATCTCCGTGTTTGCGGAGACTGCCACACTGCGATTAAGTATATTTCGGAAGCCACTGGGAGAGAAATAGTAGTAAGAGATTCAAATCGGTTTCATCATTTCAAGGACGGGAGATGCTCTTGCAACGAATACTGGTGATATTGTTACATAAATTCAAACTGTAAATGATAGAATAATCTCCTAGCAGGATGTATGTATTTTCCAATGAATCTAATTTACGGTTTCCAATCTTTCATTTCACATCCTCTGCTTTGTCTTTGAGAATGTTTAAGATTTGTCTGTAGAGGTGGATCAAAAGGAGCTTCGTTTCATCATAGTGCCTACACTAGCAGGCGGATTCGTAAGTTTCTTATTCAAATTTTTGAGGCCCCAGTTCCTTGTTTTTCTAATTGTACACTGTACAGTTCATATCTGCACATTGTATTACTATTGATGTATACTGCTTTCTGATTGCTTTAAATAAAATTGCATGATTTCGCGTCTTATTCTTTTACATTTGATCTATTCTTATTCTTTTACATTTGATGTATTTGATGTAAAATATAATTTTGGAAAGAGTATCGACGGAACCTTTTGCTAGAGCTTTCCCCATATTCCCCCTTCTGAAAACTTTTTGTTGGAACTGAGCCTTGATTTTCTCTTTTCTTCCTTTGTCCTGTATTATGAACTCCTATTAGTGCACTTCTTTAGTTTCTATTTAATTAAATTCAAGAAAAATTAGAGGGAATATATAATGTTTTGCAATATAATATTAGCACAATTTAGGATTAAATTAGCTACTAAAAATCAGTATTTCTGTTATGCTACTAAACAAAACTTTGGAACTTACTTAAATTTCAAGAGATGTTTCAAACCAGTAAATCCTTATTGGTTTCATTCTGATGAGATCGAGTTGAAATTTAGCGGCCTTGGGCTTGATTTCGACTCTGATTTGATTGCGTATAATGCCTGTAAACGATCATCACTGGAAATATATATAATTAAAATATCAAGGTTCTTATGTTTGCAGATCTTCATAGGAAAATAAGGTATTGCAGAAAGGAAAGAAAGGGAGAGAGATGAAGTCTTTGAGAAAGTATCCAAATGAGAGAACAAATTGCAAAACCAAAACAAAATAAACCATGTTACATTCAGTCAAGCCAGCCCTCTAAAAAGCTGAAAACAGTGCTCAATTGGACTTTATACGTTAGTGGATAGCTTTTGTGAATGCCTTTCGTTTTATAGTAATTTTAATATCATGAACCAACTCCCATTTTCACCACCTTTATTTCTGCGCCATGACCAACTCTCCCCCCACGGTAGCCATTCCTTGCTCCATCCATTGCATTTTTTTTTCTCCTCCCTTTGTTCTTGTACACCTGAAATTATTGCTGTACTTTCTTATTTTTTTGAATAGTTCTAGAAGTATTGATGATAAATTACTAGCTCTATCGGTAGTGAGCTGGTGATCCGATAATTTTTTGATGATCAGGATTTTTTTCAGAACAAGCAATCTTTAACTTCATGCAGCTAATTCTTGACCAAAAAAAACTTCATGCAGCTAATTTAGTAAGAATTTTACATGATTTAGGAAATTTATTTGTTATAGATAAGATTCTAGACGGTGCTGAAAATTTGACCAAAACATTTTATTGCTTATTTGCTTGGATCTGATACAGATTTTAAAGTGAGTTGAGGATTAGTTGACTTCTACACAAACAGAAGATCAAAATAGATGGATAATGGGAAAAATGGAGAAATGATAAGAACTCAGTGTCCATCGGTCTTAGCCTAGCAAATCCATGGAACTTGTGATGGACTGGTTTGAGGACTCTGCTCTCAGATAAGCTGTGTTGCAAGGGACATCCTCGAGGTCTCGAGGATGATAAGGACTGTGCAGTTGCAGGTCATTGAGCATTTGGCGAAGCTCGGAAGCTTCCTCTTTGAGCTGAGCATTCTCTTGCAGAACCTTCTCATGTGACTCTGAGACATGGTTCAGCTTTTCCAAAATTTGGTGATTCTCCTTTCTGAGCCAAACCACTTGTGACCAGAGTTCATCAAGGTGCTTCTGCTTGCGCATACGTGATCTGCGTGCAGATTCTCTGTTAGATATCATTCGTCTTTGTTTCCTCTCATTGATGAGACTGAGTTGCTGCTCATCAGCCTCATCAGAGGTTGAGTTACTACTGAAGGACGATGGTTGCTGTGGATTGTTATTAACTTCTTGAAGTTGGGAAGTAGGATATTGGAAATTGTACAATGGGCTAGAAAACCGGTTGAATTCAAAAGCGGTTGCATTGCTTTGAGTGCTCATGCTAAAAGGAGGGTAGGGAGATGATGAGCTCGAAGGAACGAGGTAATGGATTCCAGTGACCTCACCGGGCTGCATGACTTCTCAAACTTTCGACGGATAAATGCAAGGACTTCGTGGTGAAGAAGGTGAGTGGAGAGTACTTAGTTTTTGGTTGTGTTAGAAGGGGGGAAAGAGGCTCGAGGAGAGGAGGCCTTTATAGGGTGAAAAGTGTGAGAAAGTGCCTTCAAAGCTCAGCTGATTGGAAAATCATGCTATCATGTCTCTATTTTATGCAGCATCATCACATTCATCTATGTGTACATGAATGTACGCGAGATGTTTGTCTCTCATTTATGTGTTCGTTATGGGCATGCATCCATGGTTCGATGGCTACATGCATGTATGCATGAAATGATATTTTTACATACATACATGTAACATGGGGGATTACAAGTAGTTTTTGTGGATAATCATTTTTCAGATCAAATCTCCGCTAACATGAGAGAGAGATAGAGTTTTTGTGTTATAATTCGGAGTACAATTATTTTAATGGAAGAATGTTTAGGCAAAATAATGCAGTGCAAGAGAAAATGGGATCAAGAAGTCTATCTTAATTTTGGTGTGCCTTTGTCAAGTCTACAGGGAAAGAAATTAAAGAGGCTTAGAAAGGCAAGAACTTTTACGTACTGGTTATAATAATTAAGGTGCTGATCACTGACTCATCAAACACTTAAACTCAATTGAGATGTGAAAGGAAAAAAGTCTCACGTCGGTGAAAAGATAAACCTTACAAGGGCTGGTAAGAGGTTTGCTGACTTTCATTATTACCAATTAATTTTATGATAGAACTTCAACTTTCGTTATAGTATCAAAGCAGGTTAGCCCATGTGTGAAATTAACCACATGTGAAGTCCAACCGCCACACGTCTCCACGTCACCCAATTGGTGTTGGTCACGTGTTTGGCTTGAAAATTCGTCACGCATGAAGGGCTATGTGAGGATATGAAAGTAAAAGAGTCCCCATCCTTGAAAGGAGAAAACCTTGCAAAGCTTATAAGAGATTAGGTTACTTCCTATAATGTCAATTGATTTTATGACAGAATCTCAACTTTCTTCAACTCCCTATTAATATACCAATTAATCAACCGTACTTAACAATAATTTGTTCAATCGTTAGCAACATCCGCCCTCTGCCATTTTTAGGTTCTAATCCTGTTAGCCTGCTGGGAAAAATAACAGAAAAGTAGCTTCTTTTTTGTTTTGCGCACCAAGAACTTGATTTAGAATTTTTTATATTGGTTTTAATTCTAGAAATCCTTTCAAAAGGAGTAGAATGTAGATAATCCAAATAGTTTGCTGGACTAATATCTTCTACTCCGATTAAATACGAAATACGTATAGCAATATGCTAATCCCATACACCACTTAGCAATTAAAAGTCTACAAAAGCTCAAGCTAGAAACATGCATAGAGGACATTTAAAGTGAGAGATTGGACAACTTTCTTGTCTTCTTTTGGAAGCTGAGGTACAAAGGTGCAAGCATACATTCTCCAAGAAAGAGAAATGCAACTCAATTATTAGCAATCTGAATTATTATAAAAATCAGTTTGTATTACCATATTGCCAGTTGAGGACAAATTGTCCTAGCCCAAATTAGTTTGGCCTTCATTGGAAGTATATTTTCTTATCACTAATTCACCACATAACAAGTATTTATTGAACACGTAATTCAATTTTTAAGCACGTGACAAATATTTATTAGAAAAGTAACGTTACTGAAACCATATCTTAATTGCAATAGTAGATCTCTCTTTTCCCTGCCTTGGTTAAATATTTAAGCATAATTAATGGTGCACTTAGGTCAAATTAAGTCAGTTGTAGCAGGAACATGGAAAAAAGATTAGTTTTTGTTCAAACCATTCAAATTAGCAGATGTTACTGAGTGGAAAACTCTTATGGGATTCATGGATGTACTTTAAAATGCAGTCTTCCACTAACTAAAAGAGCTTTGAATGGATACAGGAACCAAAATCTTACTCTTACTGACGATCAGGCAAATTCTCTCTCTCTCTCTCTCTCTCTCTCTCTCTCTCTCTCTCTCTCTACACCTGAGGGTTTGGGTTGGGTCAAGTTGAGTGGACTGAATGGTCAACAATGCCATGAGACAGGTTTAGACTGCTCTATCTTTTCTTGTCTTGCAATTGTCCTTCTCGTGTTCCCTACTTCTCTCTATTTTATTTTCTTTGAGGATTTGGAGTATATAGAGGTGGATGAGTAAGTAGTTGAAAAAACCCAGGATTTGGAGTATGTCTTTATGCTCAGTTGTACTTGTACATAGTGTAGATAACTGCATTTGGTTGGTCAATGCTGCATCACTTAGTTTCAACTCCTTAAGTATGTCAGTGTGTGTGTGATAAAGGAGAAGTAATTCGCTGACCCTGGGTTGTATTTCCCCCTTCTCCATGTAACGCTGATCATAGAACATAGTCAACGTGACGTCACGCGAAAATGGGACCGAACATACACGCTGGTATGCAAGTGTCTCTGGTGGTATAAGGTTGGTTTGTAATTTGCTGGTGAAAAGAAAGAGTGTTATCAATTCAATGTACGCAGCTAACTTTAGCTATCAGCATGCGAAGCCATTTTTTTCGATCATGCATCTATGATTGGTTGTTTATCTACTCAGCTGGCCAATTGTTCGGTCAAGGAGGCCAGAAAAAAGCAGCAAACTTTAACTATAAGCATGCCAGGCAATGTGTAATTCAACAGCTAGCTTACATTTATGCGTTTCATCAATTTGGGTAGTGCATGGTACATGCAAGTTTGAATTCTGCTTTCAAGTACTAAAACATGCATGAACAAATTGTTCTTAACAAAATTCTAAAGTTTCAGGAGTATAATATGAGAGACTGTTTTTTATCACGGTTATAGTTTTCTTATTTTTATATCTCTCTTCATGTGTCCATATTTAGTAAATTATTGACGCATATTTGGCTATGTGTACTATAAGTACACACTCAAATTAAAGGAATACACCCCAAAAGAAACTTTCAACCTCAATTTGGCATGGCACTTTGCCTTCAAACCAAACGTGAGTGAAAGTAATATTGGATCTGTTGATAGAACTCCATTTTTCCCCTCACTCAACTAACATATCTTATCTACGTCCCAAAATCATTCCCCCATATCTCTTCATTTGTTTCCACTTTACCCTTGAACTTTGTTGGACATTCACTACAATCCAAGCCTCCAAGGGCATTTTGGGAAAATAATGTCTCAACCTGCGACATTTGCCCTACAATGACGGTCTGGGTTGTGCACGGAAGGGTTCTTGATTTAACTCCATCCCTTTTCGTACCGAATGACACTCCAAAAGAAATCCAATTCTATTTTTTTTATTCTTAAATAATAGAAAGGAAACACCTAAAATATTAACAACAAACAATGAGACAACGACACGAGTCACGACATGAACAAAGTAGGCAGACGAGAAAAACGCGAGCGCACGATAGATGTCACACGTGGGCCCCGGCTAACAAGCGCGCGTGGGTGCTTAGTGCACCACCCCCCTAGCCCTATTGCTTGGCTTGTCAAACTCAAAACAAAAAAGCTCTCTCTCTCTCTCTCTCTCTCTCTCTCTCTCTCTCTCTCTCTCTCTCTCTCTCTCTCTCTCTCTAGGGTTTCTGTAGCGTCTTTTCACGCTCCTCCACCAATCAAGGGCTGTATGCAAGTTTTTGGGTATTGTCCTTAGATGCCCAGATGACCCTATGTGCACCCCACTAAGGCAACCTCTGTCATTGCATTTTTTGTTTTTGTTAGAAATGGTGATTGCAGGGTGATGAAGTGGCTAGCTAGGGTAGGGCGTGGAGGTTTTCATCCAACAAGGCCCCTTCATGACGGTGGTTGGCTGGGGGAGTTGCTTTTGTTTTTCAGCCCTTCTCATATCATTCGTACGTATGCATTATAATCCTTAATCGAGTTATAACTTTTTATATATATATATATCTTTGTTGGTTTTATTTCCTCAACAGTTTACTTTTATAGAGTGTACGTAGTATCAAGAGTCTTGGTTAATTTGCAAGAAATTATGCATTTGAGACTTGGTTTGTTGGTTGCAAGAATATATTAGGAAGTTGTGTATTTGAAGGCTACTTGAACTCATATGATTCTCTCGCACTTTCTTTCTAGTAATACAGTTGTGAATCTGGTAGGGTTTAGGCACTAGCAGTTACTCCAATCCAAAATCATGATTTTCTAGTGATATATGTGTTTTTAAATTCAAGTTTTGTTGTTTTGGATGAAACCACGGGTGGAGCCACCCGTAACGCTAAGGTGGGTTGTAGCTCAAGGAGATTTTTTGTAAGTGTAGTGATATCTACACACTCATTTTTATTTCTCATACATCTTTCTTAGTACCTTCAGGTTGAATGAATTGATAAAAATCAATGACAAAAAATTAATAAGGATGTGTGAATAGCACTATCTTTTTTTGAACTCATGCTTTAATGGCTTATGTTAATGCATGTAACCTATATAGCCCACTCATTTCCAATCTAGGCTATTATTTCATGTATATTTAGTAGAGGATAGGTAATAAATAATATTTTTTATGCTACAAGTAATAAATTAGTTCTATCTTCCCTTCCCCCTCTTCCATCCTATTTGTTAAAGAAAAAGACCATTTATCATATGCAATTTAGCATCCATACTTTTTACTCAACAAAAGAAAATGAATTTTCTTTTAGTTCACAATTAAATCTCTATCTCCGCAATTCCGTACTTTACGTTGCGATTTCCCAATGAATGCAACCTTTGATACGTTCTTAATCGCTTTATTTACTTATTCTTGATTTATTTAGCAGGTTAATTATTTATATGGTCCTTAAAGTTGTCGGTTAGTGTTATGATTTAAAGAATTGTTTATATTCTATTGTTGTTCTTTTATATTGATTAAAAAAATAAACATATGATTTTATGTCACTAATTTCAACTAGCTCACCCAAAGAAAAAAATCCTGGCTCCGCCATTGGATGAAACTACAAAAACGCAAACAGGAACTTAGTCAAGTTGACTAGAATAATGTGCTCTTTTCTTTGCACCTAAGTTCGAATATAAAATATCGCTTATATTAATAATCTTACGTGCGAAACAAAATGTTTAACTAGTACCACATGTCACATTCTTATCCCAAGAGCATACACATTATATGCCTCCTCTCCCACAGCTAAATCTTATTGTTTCTTTATCATGAGGTCATT